AGGTGGTGAAAATGGTAATGCTACACTATGCTAATAGTACATCCCAAGGATCAGTGATAACAGGTAATTGGAATGACTAGGATTAATCTTTATAATAACATCCCATACTATACTGCTCTCTGTAATATGGACTTAGTAGGTTAGGTGGGTTTAAACTAGTAGTAGGATTCCTCTTGTGAAAAGTTCCACCTAATGTATAGACACATCTTTGGGTATTTAAAATAAACATATAGTTGGGTTATAGTGGTTGGCATAGCTAGTCTTATAGTAATATACTGTATTTACTAATACAGTGTTAATCTGCAGATTAACTGTAGAGACATAACAGGTATTTATATATCAAATGATTTCTGATTAATTTGTAGAGACACTTGATATCTATCTGGATATTAAATGTATCAATAAAGATTACATGTCTTGCATACATTCCACTCAAAAAAAAAAAGAATATTATATACAAAAAAAAATTTTTTTTAAATTAACTTATTTAATATTAACATATAAAAGATTAATTAAATAAAATATAACTTAATTTATATATTTGAATATATTATTAATATAGATAATCAATTGAAATTAATTAAAATAAAATATAATTTAGTTTATATAATATATTCAAATTTTATATTATTATTATATAACATGTTTTAAGTTTAATTAAAATTAAATTATAAACTTTTTTTAATATAATTGTTTTATAATATAATTTTTTACAATTTTATAATTATTAAAAAAATCAAAAGTTTTATCTTGATACAATCTAATTAAAGATTTTTATAATAAATAATTTAAATAAAATTAGATTAATATTATTTAAAATTAATATATTATGTATATTATTTTTAAAGTTATTATTTGATTTGATTTTTTTAATAATTAAATTAAATAAAATTTTTATATATTATAAATTATAAGCAAATCTTTTTATATTAATATAATTATTTTGAATTATAATATTACTTCTTTCTATAAATAATATTTTCAATAATAGATTTATAAAATGATATTATATAATATTAAAATAAAAAATAATAATAATTATTAATGATATAAAAAATAAAATAATATGATATTATAAAATTTTCAAACACAAAACTAAAAACAATTATAAATCTTTTATCTTTATTATAAATAAGTTTATAAATACAGTACTGGCACAAAAAACTGACAATTTTATTGTTATTATTTGCTATATACAAAACTTTTTATAGAATTATTTAAATTATATAAAAATATATATATATAATTTTTAAAATATATATTCAAAAAAAATTAAAAAAAAATTAGTTTTTATCTTAAAAAATTAAGAGATAACAATAAAAGAAAATTTTTAAAAATTATTAATTTTATATTTTTGTTAATAAAAAATTAAAAAACTATTTAATTTTTATAAAAATTTATAATAATATTTTTCATAATCTAACAAATAAGTTTACTTAAGAATATTTAACAAAAAAATGAATATTTTTTTAAAAAAAAAATCAAAAAAATCAAAAAAATATTTTTACTATGTTTTCTTATATAGAATTTACTTTACTAATAAAATAGTTTTTTGAAATTTATCATTTAAAAATGTAAAATTTATTTAATTTATATAAAAAATTTTTTAAAAAATTGATTATATTATAAATAAATATCTGTTAAATTATATTTATATATTATTAATTAATTTTTTTTGATATTAAACATAAATATAATAAAAATTTTAATAATATTTTTAAAAAACCAATGAGACAACTTTAGTCTTTATATTTATTTCTAGTTTATTTAAAATTTTATATTATTTGGATAAATATTTATAAAGATAAATTAAAAAAACCAATTGTCATTTTTTTTCACCTGTACTGTAGTAACTTTAATTCTATATCATGTTTTAAAAACTTAATATTTAAACTTAATCAATTCATTACTAATAACTTTAAATAAATATGTATTTATGGTTGCTTAATATCTTCTTTGATATAGAGATTTTAATATTTATTTTTCTTTATTGCTTAATTAATTTATATAGACAAGTTAGTATTAAATTTATTAATCTAATATGTTATATAAGAGATGTTGTTATTTTTTTCATATATAAAATCAGTAACAATATTTACCTACAAAAAAAAAAACAATATTATAAAATTTAATTATTTCATAACAATAGAATAAATTATTAAAACAAAAAAAATCGCCAGTTTAATTTATTTCAATAAAATAATAAATAGCTAGTGTTTAAAAATAAATTAAAAATTAAAAATTAAAATATAATAAATACGTAATTTAAAATAATAATTAAATACAGTAAAAAAAAATTTTTTTTATCGATTATCGACAAGACAGTTTCGGGCGGCCAATAAGACGTACTTCTAGACATATATTCCTTATGAATAATTTCGTGCCTAGCATTTAATCCTTTATGGTTATAGTCTCCTCTTTGTCCCGAACAGGCTGGAGTCGCCAGTTGTTTGGCAGGAATTTGACATTCCCCTTTATCACCACAAATCATT